GCCACCGCACTAGCCGCGCCGCGCCACGTCGCGCGACAGATTCCTGCATTTAGCTTTTGTTGATTGAGAGCTACCTCATTAGGTAAGGTTGGTCTAAGCTGTATTATAGTCCCCGTAAAACTAATGCATAATTCATTGTTCTATTTTTATTTTTATAAACAAACATGGAGGATTTCTTCAGAATATATTGCCAAATTGTAACTATATTTTGTTTGTCTCGGATATACCAAAATATTTCCGAATTCTACATGAAAATGTGATCTAGTCGTGTATGTACTTTCGGAATTGTAAATTGTTTATTGTTAGTGTACAACTTTGAGATGCAGTGTAAGTGGGACCAACTGTGAGATGTTAGATGGCGATACAGTAGTTCGTAGTTTCCGATGGGTCACACAGAGTTCTGTAGGTTGACAATAATGTTAGTGAACGAAGGGTATCGGAGGATAGATATGTCTCTTGAAAGTGGCACGCTGTATAATATGTTTAGAGATGCATGCCACTTTCGAACGTGATATAATAATACAGCAAAGAGCATATTCCTCCGAATGTGTGTAATATCATAGTGTGGGTACTATCATCAGATCTGTTTATAAATAGAGTAAAAATCAGGATGACTAAAGCAATTGTAGGGTAAGGATACTTATTCTATGTTTTAGAATAATTTTGTATTCCGTAATCCTTTTGCATCCTTCAGCTAGCAACAAAATGCAATAAACTACCATTATACCTCAGAAGTGTTATACTTCCTTAGCATATAAGACAATAGAATTGGGTCAGTTGTGATAAGCAAACTTAATGAAGGCTGAGTTTACATTTTTTCATATACAGTATGTGCCAACATTAAAGATAATTCAAATTAGCTAAAATATTTTATATAAATACAATTTTACAAATACTGGAAAGCTTACAAAAATAATCTGTTTAAATTGTATGGAAATTGTTGATGAACATATCAAACATAAATTAATACAACCATGGACTATTAAAAAAACAACACTAAAATAGTGCAATCAATATTTTGTAAATTCAATGAAACATCATTTTTTGCCTTTTGCAATGTAAATATAATGTATAAAATCATATTAAATGTTTTGATATTAAATTTACAAAACTTGCAACATCTACTTTTTGTCACTTTAAAGTTTATGTTTATGTACAAACATTAATTTTTTAAGTGTAAAGAAAAACTATTTCTGGCAGGCAGTGATAAAACTCCTAAATCTTTTAAGGCAATAAGTTCTGTCTTTGTAAAAAAAAAAATTTTAATATTTTGCAGTTTTCAAAAAAATATATATAATACATTTTTTTCTATTGAAAAAAATTAATAATTTTGATATGTGTTCTTGATATGTAAAATGTTAAATATGAAATAATAATGTTTTCTTGTGTAACTTCCTTCGTTGAATGTTTGGCGTCTAATTTTGTCAAAAAACGAAAAGTTTTACTTCATAATGGAGATCCAATTTTGTACATGCTTTATATTATAGAATGTGTAAATAATTATAATCTTTTAGGTTAATAGGTGTAAAAAATTTAAACTACCTCAATTGCAACTTACTGTTACGTCTAGAAATTTAAATAAAATTAGGTTAGTGAGAGAAAAGTTAGATTTTTTTTGTTTCTTTTTGAGAAAAACACGCAATGGATAGCTATTTCTTTTTTGTGTTTAACTGTTTATTTTAATGTGTGCTGCAATATCGATGTATGTATGATTATGTTTTTAAATCATTTCGCTTTTTATAATTCATATTGAACACAAGAAAATTTAAAAAAAAAAATATCATCCTTCATTTGTGATTTGATGTTAATCAAAGAAATTTTTGAAAAAAAAACAAAAAATCTTCCCATGTGTAGTAAAGTTTAATTTAGGTAATTCTATTTCGTTGCGCAAAATTTTTTAAAAAATTTCACGTCACTAGCTTTTTTATCTCATCAAAACTTTCAACGCAGTTAATAACTAGTCATACAAAGCAGCACAAATAAATATTAATAGATTGAAACTCCAAACAGATATTAAATGTGAATGATCAGTACAAAGCGTTACATAGAATTATACATTCTTTAAGTCTAGTATTGGTACAGAAATACAACGATGTATGCAATATTGTAGTAGTTAGATGTATTTTATACATAATTGGTTAACATGTCAAAGACTATGACCGTATTCCTGTCTCTTCTTTCTATAGATGTTCTATTTGTATTTATTTATTTAACTGTAGTCAAGTGACGATAAATATCTATTGTCTTGCAACACAAAGTGTTCATTTTTTTCCTTTTTATTGGGAAATATTTTATTGCATAATTGTAATTGTTAATTTTTTTGTATCCCAGTTTTATAATGAGTTTGACTCATTAGGTTTTTTTATTTTTTTAATCTAAAAACATGTTGTGTAATGCCAAATAATTACATAATTATATTTTTGACTTTAAATTCTTTAAGCTTTCGAATATTTTTTATATTTATGTAATCTATGGTAAGTTCAGTAAATACAACAGAGGTGCTATGAGTTAGATTAATACAATAATTAAAAAACATATATTTTTCTAAATGATTTGATCATAGTAATGGTTGTAAAGATTTTGGTCTTGCCTTTATCCGCAAAAAATAAAAAAGCCTATGTTATTAAATGTTAATGTAACTTTTTAATGGTGAAATTTTTTTGGAATTGGTCCAGTAATTTTTGAGTTTTTTACATACAATAAAAAAAACACTCTTCTTTATAATATCAGTAAAGATAATATTGTATTTGAATGACTAATTTCATTTCTAACTCATAGCAAGCCATGATACTGATCAAATAGGTATACGTAATTTCGGTACATAAAATAGGGGCCTTATTAAAATAAAAAAAATGTAGATCATTGTTTGAAATGTAAAACAAAAAAAAATATTTTTTAGACTTCGTAAGATGTTTTAATAGAAGATCTATTTTTGTTACGCTTTTTCGAGTAATAATTTTTATATTAAATGTTGAACACTTTTTGTATGTAAAATTCCGACTGGTATGTTAGAATTGGATGTTTTTAATATATTTAGAGTATAATGATGGATTTTGAGTAATACATTTTTTTAAAAACCTATGATTTATAACATGATTGACTAGCTGTTGCTCGTGACTTCACCGGGTTAAATTATAAATAATAAAAAATAGTCTATGTAACTCACTAATAAATTACCTCTCTAACGGTGAAAGAATTTTTATAATCATACAGTAGTTTTGAGTTATTGTAATAAATACAAAAATCAAAAATCTTTCCTCTTTGTAGTAATAATATAGATTAATAATTTACATATGTTTTTGCATTTTAATTGCAGTTTCAATTCTAACATACGGTTTGTGAATAATACATTATATTACTAACATTGAATGAAATAAACCCTCGCAGGATAAATATTGAATAAACAATGTACCTGGTTTATAATAACATGTTGTAGTTACTGTCTTCAATATAATAAATATTTTGGACATATATAGCTTTTATTTATCCTGTATTTTTACCAACACCACTTCGTTAGCACGAAAAATAAATCTTGTAGCCAATCAGCCTTAAACATCATAAACGAGGTATAAAGTTTAACATAGAAGTAAACTGAGTATAGGCAAGTATTAGTACAAATTTTGCTTATACTCCGTTTATTCCTAAGTTTAACTTTATACCGTGTTTATTTGTAATGCTGTAAGTGGTCTAGATTCCTATACATCTGAGGCTGATTGAGATTCGTTTTGGCGACAACTTTCGCCTTTACATTTATGTGACTATCTTTTCTCTTATATGACATGGATGGGGATAAAACAAATAAAAAATACACATATACTGCAAATTTCACTATTATTCAATATTCGAAATTAAAAAAATATATTCCATTGTAAGTCATTACTCACCGCCAGAAATTTTACCGATGGTTTACCGGCGTTAGTTTAGGGCAACCGCCCAGGGCGTCCAGGACTACATATTTAGTGCATCTCGCCCAGGGCGTTGGTTTTAGTGTGAGAGTCGGGCAAACTTGCACACGGCATTAGTAGTTAAAGGAATGGGTATTAAATTAATTACTATCAGACTTAGTATAGCGCAACCGCCCAGGGCGCCCAGGACTACATATCTAGTGCATCTCGCCCAGGGCGTTGGTATTACTCATCAAACCTGCGCACGGCTAATAGGAATGGGTATTAAAAATGGTCAGATACATGAAATACATTTTTATTGGTGTTCAATTCATTAACAAATAACACATAGACTTAGAAACCAGTAATAACAAAATAAATACGTACCTAATCCACGGTAAAACAGAGAATGAAAGAAATGCAAGACACGAGAACAAACAACTATTAACTGGAAATTTCTATACACAGGTCAACTTTATCGTGTCCCCACTGACACAACATATACAAAAACATCACCATCTCTTATTGAACAAAAGGGATAACAATGTTTTGTAAACGCCAGTGGAAATCTACGATTACTATAAAATTTTACATTTACACATATACATCAATATTGTAAATATAATCCGACAATATAGAAACATCGAACATGAAAATCTAAAATTTATCTAGATCTGAATTTATACTAAAAAAACAAAATTGTACTAAAATAAACACCGCGCGAGCGGCAGGCCGCGGTATTTAGTATATATTTTCTAGAAAAATCGCTTCGTAACAAAGATGGCGCCAAAATGTGCCGGATAAATGCAAGAAATCGATTTTTAACAATTAAAAATCGATGTTATATAACCATATCGATATTCGATTTGCAAAACAATGTTTCGAGCAAAATCAACTGATGTCAAGATTTTAATTAATTTAATAGAATTAAAATATTATTTACATGTACATTTTAAAAGTTTTCATATTGATTTTACTATTTTTTGTTTAAATAACATTGTCGTTATTATTATCTATGTATTTTTGACCTTATCGGTGGTATATTATTATAATAAAGTTTATAATTACATAACTATCAAATACCGAAAAAGCAGCACATCAATATTACTATATATATTGCTTTCCATTTCAAATTTTCCAAACAAAAATCGATATCCCTAAGTTAATCACAACATCGATGTTATATTTGAAATATTTCAATATCGATATTGATCAAATATTTGATACATCGATTCGTCATATTTTTAATTATCTAATGTCCACTGCATTTTGTATGTAACAATAATTGCTAGCCGGAATGGCTTTATAATTGAACTATATTTTTTATTATTTGCTTTTATTTCATTGGTAACATTTAAAAATAATTATATTTTTTTAAATTGGATATTCATCTAACAAGTTAAACACCAGTCACCAAAGGTAGTCGGATTAACTAATCTGGCCCGGTGAGGCGCTGTCATCATTCGTCCTGTCAGAAAACATAAAACATACCACAGATATATAGAATTACACAAAACAAGTAACAATACGATAAAAAAAATATTGCACTTTTTTTGATATTTCAAGACCTTTTTAATAGATCACATTTGACACTTCTAGATTTAACACTAAAACTGGGCATAAAATATTTTTTTACTACATTATAGTTTAATTTTTTAAATTTTTCGATTATATTTTTATTATGTCAAACGAAAGTCGTTACTTGTGACGAAACAGTAACAACGTAATCGAATTGATAACATCGATTTTTATATTAAAATCGATTTATAATGAATCGATTCTTTTTAATCTATGTTTTTAAGTAGACGATCACTATGAATCTAAAATTAATGTGGCCTTTTGTACACCGGGCCAGACGAGTCAGTGCTGTCACCCACGCCTACATAACCTGTAAACGAATTGAAAAGCCAAGAGAAATCATTTCACCGTCCTTCGCCTACTTTTCCTCACTTTACCCGACTTTCTATTCTTTATGTCAATATTGAAATCATTATCCGTCAATTTGTTTGTGTACACTGGGTTGTCATTCGCGTCATTTTCAGAACTATCAATACCATTCTCCATTCGTATCGTATTCCCGTACGGCTGAGTATCCATTTCTTCATCAGAATCACAATTTCCGTTAGTTTCATGACGTTTTGTGTAACTTTTATACCTAACGTCCTCGTCTGATTCCGTTGATCTTACTCTGTGCCGTCTGTTGATATTCTGTAGAGATTGGTTCTTCTGTAATTCGTTATGTATTGAATCTCTTATATTCATTTCTGATGTTGATTTGGTGCAGTATTCCTCTCTGTCGGATTCGGAGTATTTCCTTGATAGTCTTCTTGTGAATGTGTGGTCTTTTTCCCTGTGGTCTCGTTCCCTGTGGTCCCTGTCGTGTGTGACCGGAGAGCGCAGCCGGACCTCAGGACCACCGCCGTATATGCCGGTGAAGAATCTCCATAGTTCTTCACTGAGTTGAGCGTGATCGGACCCGGGTTTCAGTGAATATGTTGTGATGCCGTCTATTTCCTGAAATTATTGATTAAAATGTTGGAATAATCTTCAAACTAGCAATCTCCTGTATCTAAATAGTGTTTATATACACTAACAGCCATAGTATCATGCATGTTTTGCAATATACATACAGAATTATTATGTATAACTAGTTGTCTCTCGCACTTTGTTTGCGTGAAATTGAAAAAAGTAAAAAACAGCCTATATTTCTCAGTGGTTATGTAGCTTTTTAATGATATAAGAATTTTTGTAATCGCCCAATACTTTTTGAGTTATTTCAATGCATACAAAAATACAAATCTTTCCTCTTTATAATAGTAGTATAGATTATAACATGAATCAATGCAAGGTTACACATTTCATTCAGGTATAAAATCTTGCTCATTTTGTTTTTCAAAGAAATCTTATATACTTTGATGGGTGTTTTATATGAATATTTTGATATTTACATTTACAGTAAATGACCACAGTCTAAATTAAATTCCAAATAGATTCGTGCACGTAATATCAGATCATAGCCGAGGAAATATATTTCCTACCCATTAAAAAAATTACCATTCACGAATAATATAGTGAATATATATAGTATGTTAGAGCGTCGGCGGCTCAGTGGTTTGGAGCACTTGACTTGTAATCTACAGGTCTTGGGTTCAAATCCCACCATGTACCAATGTGATTTTCGATTTTTTCGAATTTCCATATGTAAATAATTTACCCGACGTTCTTACGGTGAAGGAAAACTTCGTGATGCAACCTGCACATATCAGCGAAGAAATTCATAGACATATGTGAA